GTGCTGTGCCCCTTGCCTTACTAAGTCTTTTTCTTGCGGTACTGGGGTTTGATCTCAGGGCCTACACCTTGAGCCACTCCACCAATCCTTTTTTATGCTGGGTTCTTTTCGAGGTAGGGTCTCACAAACTATTCGGTCGTGCTGGCCTCAAACCGCGATCTTCCTGTCTCTGCCTCCTGAGTAGCTAGGATTACAGGCGTGAGCCACCGGCGCCTGACTTTACTTACTCTTAAAACCGCGGCTAAATCTAGCGGAAGTCGTAACCTGGTAAGGGCTTTCCTCTTAAGGTTCGACTTTTGGGAGCTGTTGTGTATCAGGTTCCTGTTTGTAAGCATGGGGGCATGAGGTGCGAATGGTCCACTTTTCTGTAGTAGGGATTTGTTCTAATTTCTCCAACTCTCTTGAGCACCTGGTGCGTGTGTTGAAAACTGCAGTGCTCTAGACCAGCAGGATCAGAATCCAAAGGTGGAGCCTGGGTATCTGTTGTTGGAAACAAGTGTGGGAAATGTGTTAATTCACTTGTGCTCACCCAGTCTTTCTCGTGTCCAGCAGCCCCACTGTGGCTAAAGCGCTAACCAGAGGAAAAAGTCAGGAGCTGAAAACTGTCACCTTGTTGGGCTTTGTAAAAGATATGAGCAGAACCAGCCTGGCTCTTAAGGTTGTTTAGCAGAAGGCATTCTTTTATTTTTTTATTTTACTTGCAATGTGTCCTGCACATTGTAACTACCTATAATTTCATTTTATTTAATCATTTTTTGGTGGGACTGGGATTTGAACTCAGGATTTCATGCTTGCAAAGCAAGTGCTGTACTCCAGTGCATTTTGCTCCAGTTATAATTGGAGATGGAATCTGTTGAACTGTTACACCAGCTTGCCTCAAAACTCCATCCTCCCAATCTCATCCTCCCAGGTAGCTAGGATTACAGGAGTCAGACACTGGCACCTACAGTCTATTTGACAGTTCTTTCAGGCAGGACATGGTGGTTCTCCTCTGTAATCCCAGCTATTAGGGAGGGGTAGATCCAAGGAATCTCACTTCCAGACCAGGCGGGACAGGGGTTAACAACTCCCCCATCTCACCCAACAAGCTGAGCATGGTGGATCATATCTGTATTCCCAGTTACACTGGAGACACAGGTCGGCTGGTTACAGTCTGAGGCCAGACCCTATCTGGAAAAAATAAATAAAAACTAAAGTAAAAGGACTGGGGACATGTCTCAAATGGTAGAGCGCCTGCCTAGCAAGCAAGAAGCCCTGAGTTCAAACCCCAGTAATACACATACACACACACACACACACACACACACACACACACACACACACACAAATAAATAAATTCAAGTATTTGATATCCTCTTGAGTCTGGGAGCTTAGCCTTGAATCTTGAAGTCACCACTAATTTTTTTTCTTTTTTTTTTTTTTTTTGATGGGACTGGTGTTTAAACTCATGGCTTCATGCTCACAAGGCAGGTGCTCTACTGCTTGAGCCACATCTCCAGTCCATTTGGCTCTGGTTATTTTAGAGATGAGGTCTCTTGAACTATTTGCCCCAGCTAGCCTTGAACCCTGATCCTCCCCATCTCATCTAGGGTTACAGGTATGAGCCACCAGCGCCCAGCATCATTGATACTTTTCTCTGTTTTCAGTCATCTCAGCATGGTTCCTAGGTATCTGTGGTGAATGCTGGAAAAGCAGGAACAAGTTATTGTTGGTCCTTGTTCTCAGGGAGTTCCATGTAATGAAGAAATAAAAACTACTACTTTGAGTGCTTTTTAGGTGCCACGTGCCACATTCTTCCTGCATTGTGGTCTAAGTCTCCACAGCTGTGTGGAGTAGATATTACTAGTCCATGTAACAGATGAGGGGCCCGACACACACAGTTACTCCAGCTCAGAGTCATACAGCTTATGAGTGGTGGGCAGGTTTTCACACCAGACTTGCCCAGTGCCAGCTTGCCCCCGTTAGCACGCAGATGGTTCAACTGTGTGGAACGTGCGTGTTGGCAGAAGTGCAGGGTGTTACAGGAGAACACAGGAGAGGCCCTTGACCAAGGGTTGGGCCGCCGGATAGATGTGGACCAGGCTGTGGGTGGAGATTATCTCTGTGGGGGAGGGTGGCGGGCACAGTGCCCTGTGTACAGGTGCTGAGCATGGTGGGAAAGTTAAGGCTGACATGTCTGAGGAATGACCAGTAGTTCAGCTGGACTTGATCAGAGTGAGAGGACCGAAGCATGGTGAGCCCTGTGTACTAAGGAGTTTTGAGTTTTTCTTGAGAGCTCAGAAAGTCATTGGAGGGTTGGAAGCAGGGCCATGAAGACGACTTGCTCTGACTCCTGTGTACAGATTGGGGTATTGAGGAGGGGAGGAGGAGTGCGGATGAGAGGCTGGAAGCTTTGGGAGGAGGCTGAGCGAGAGTGAGATGTGGCTCTGCTCAGGTACTGGCAGTGAAAATGGAGAGTAGATGGATCTTGGGAGATTTAGGATGTAGACTGCTAAGGCCTTGAGGAGTGTCTAGGCAGGGGAGATGAGAAAGGAAGGAAGCCAGGGTAGCACTAAGGGTTCTGGTATGTGGGGCCACTGGGCACACAGGGTGAGCAGGCTGGAGGTTGAGGGACAGGCATTTGTGTTTGGATGTGCTGGGTTTTACCTTGCTGGGTATGGGAGGTGGAGCTCAAATCTGGAACTTGTGAGTGAGTTGGAAGGAAGGGTCAGCAGTGTTCATGGCATGGAGAGGTCCAGTGTGAGGGTGCTAGAAACCGTCTTCAGGAACTAGCAGCTTGAGTCTTTTGGTGAGAGTAGTGTTTGCTGTGGTGCAGAAACAACTTGACTACTTTGGGTTCAGGACGCTGGGGGCCAGGTAGTGAAAAATTGGGAGTAAGAAACCCTTTCTGTTTATTAATTTACTATCAAGTGAGAAACGCAGATTGGGAAAATATGTATATATATTTTTTTAAGGTAGTGCTACGGATGGCATCCTGGATCTTATGCCTACCAGGCAAACTGTACTATTCAAATATATTTTCAGTCCAAGAATAAATATTTCTTCAAGAAACTCACCTACTGGCATACTGTTCAATTACTAAAGTATGAAGAAATCAATTTAGAGTAGGATAGTGGTAGAGATTTTGCCATCAAGACAGCTCATTGCTACTAAAATTCTGAGAAGATACCATCAACACTGATGATTTTCTTTAGTGAGAAACCTTAATTCCTTCCTGTATATGCGTTATTGCAAAGATCATAAACTTAGTATTTTTGAAGTAAAAAATTACTAATTGAAGAAAGTTTTAGAGCTTTTGTTTCATTTCTTAAATCCTCTGGGAGGGACTTGAGGATATTAAAATGGTAAGGAGAAAGAGCCATATGGCAGCAAAACTTTGCTGATGTGTGAGAGAGGACAGTGGATGGGGCCAGGGTGCAGAACAGAGAGAAGGTGGGATCCAGGGCACTTATGGGATGAGACACTGTGTACCCACTGAGAGAAGCAGAGATGGCACATGTGCAGGTAGGTTTCTGGGAGGGGTTTTAGGAATGAGCTGATACAGACTGTCAGTTTAGGGAGGATCGAAGATAGTGGGGTGAGGCTAAGCGAGGAGTATGTTATGGGCTCAGAACCTGAGTTTGGAAATCTGCCTATGGCTTCCCACATGCTAGCCCAAAGCAGGTGTGGCGCCTACTAGTCTGAGCCACAGAAGAGCAGGGGCTTTTTAAAGCATGACTGAGTGGTAACGGTTAGGGAGGGTGGGTAGGCAGGCCAATGAAACTGGCTGGCTATGGTACTGTCTTCCTGGAGAGAGCTGCTACATTTCCTTTGGAACAAGAGGACATGAGAATGTTAGTGAGAGGGTAGGCATTTAACTTGGAAGGGTGGTCCTGAGGGTACAGAGAAGTTTTTAGGGCAGTTAAGTGCATGGAGAGAAACGGTAGATGAGATTACAACTAGCCATGTAGAGGAGCTTTTATATCGAGTGGAGCATAACAAGGACCACAGATGTGAGGCATGGTGGCATCCACAAGGTGGTCATGATACTTGGTCTCCACTGGCATGAAATTTACCTTGGCACACAATTTGTACCTGTATTGGTTGCAGTTCTGAGTCCTGTCTGATGGGTATGTGTGAACTTCTTTGGCCTTAGATAACATGGGCTGATCAGGGAGCCATCTGTGGGTCCAGGTACTGATGTTGGAGATGGTGGTGGCTTTCCTAGTACTGTGCTGCTCTGATGCCTACATGTCTGCCACCCTGTGTCTTTAAGTCCTCATGTACCTGTACTTTAATGGTAGCATAGTCTGCCAGTAGGTCAGTCTTTAGTTTCTTGAACAGTTCTCTGTTTTGGTGTTAGAGTTTGTTAAAACCCTACCTTTTCTATTTTCAGCCTGTAGTAACTCATCTAACACATCAGACCACATACTCAGAGTCTTATGGTCTTGGCTCCACCTTCAGTTCCTGCTACATAGCAGTTCATGGTAACCCTTTGACCTCCATACCAGTTTCCTTACTGTCGTCCCAAGCAGACATCACACCCAGACTTATTCCACATCTTTACTGTTTATGCTTTCCATTTCTTGTCTTTGTCCAAATTTTACTCTTCTATGCTCAGCTTACACCCTACTTCCTATGTTAGCCTGTTCCTAGTGGCCTTAGCCTTCTCCCTTCTTCTGTAGCCTGTTGTATTTATTGCTTATAGAAATATGTGCTTTAGCTGGGCACCGGTGGCTCATGCCTGATTCCTAGCTACACAGGAGACAGAGATCAGGAGGACTGTGGTTCAAAGCCAGGCGATAGTTAACAGGACCCTATCTCGAAAACATCCATCACAAATACAAGGCTGGTGGAGTGGCTCAAGGTGTAGGCCCTGGATTCAAACCCCAGCTCCACAAAGAAAAAAAAGAAGTGTGTGCTTTACTACTACCTGTGTGTAAATGATAAGTAGTGTGTAAACGATGACTAGTAGTCCTTTCTTCCTTTCCAGAAAGATGTCTAATATTTAACTCTCCACCCCATCACCTGGGGGAAACAAGGCCTGCCGTCATTCACTTGGGCTCTGGGTTCCATCTCTTTCTTTCCCAAGGATTTCCATCTTTATTATTCTCTCGTTGCCTTTTTCTGGGTCTTTCCCACCAGAAGTGAAACATTCTTTTTGTTTGTTTTGGGACTAGGTTTTGCTGTGTTGCCCAGGCTAGCCGTGAATTGTGATCTTCCTATCTCAGCCTCCCAGGTAAGTGGGGTTAACAGCTACTGGGATTCAGGATGCCTACCAAGTCAAGCTGAAACATTTGTGATACTGCCCATCTTTGAAAAATAAACAACCTTGTTCTATCCCACATTTTTCTCTTGCTTCTGTGCCATTTTTCTACCTTGAGAGTAAACTGTAATAGAGCTGTCTCTACTCCTTCATCTCTTCTACTCATCAGTTTCTTCTAGTTCATATTCCATCCTTAATACTCCCATGGAAATGTCTTTTTGAGGACACTAAGCCTTCTATGTTACTACATCTCTCTGGACACATGTTCATCTTCCTAGATCCCTCAGGACTGCCTGATGTTAACCTTTCTTTCTTTTTTTGTGGCACTGGGGTTTGAACTCAGGGCCTTGTACTTGCTAGGCAAGCGCTCTGCCACTACAGCTGTGCCCCCAGTAGCTTTCCTCCCTCCCTCCCTCCCTGTTTTGGTGTTACTGGGGTTTGAACTCAGGGCCTCAAGCTTACCTACACAGGTGCTCTACCGCTTGAGCCACTCTACCATCCCATCTTTCTTTATTTTTCAAATAGGGTCTTGGTTTTGTTCCCAGGCCAGCTGTGATCCTCCTATTTACATTTTCCACATAGCGGGGAGGACAGGCATATGCCACCATTCTTAGCTATGGTTGTGATGGAGACTTTTTGCCTGGCCTCAAACTGCATTTCTCCTGATGTCCACCTCCCAAGTAGCTAGGGTTAAAGGTATGAGCCATCAAACTGGTTTATAATTTACCTTTTCTTGAAACACCTTCTTCCAGCTTCTGTGATGTGCTTCTGCTCCATTTCCTTTCTGTCTCTTTTTTCCATCTCTGTAGCCAGTCCTTTCCTTATCTGGACACCCTTTTTGAGTCTGGCACAGTCTTAGTCCTTGCTCTTTGTCCTTTGCTCATCCAAATCTGTAAGTTCTGGGGTACCTTGATCTCTTCTGGTTCCTCTATATGCGAGGACTTTAAACTTACTTAAGCAAAGAGCACCCAGGTCTCTTTGCCACATTGCAGACTTGTATAGGCAGTTGCTGCTTGATATTTCCACATGGATGTCTGGTGGGTACCTAATACATAACTTATCTAAACATGTAACCTTTGATTGTACATCCTTCTACACTTATCCTCTCCCTCACTCTCTTTCCCACCTCTTATGTTTTTTTACTGACACCAGTTCATTGATGAAACTGAGCTGTCATTCTTACTACTCCTTTATCTACCCTTAGTTTGTTGGCAAGTAAGTTCTGTCACTTCTTTTTCTTTTTTTCTTTCTTTTGAGACAGGGTTTCACTGTGTAGCCCAGGGCAGCTTCAAACTCACTATCCTGCCCAGGATGGCTTCTCACTGGCAATCCTACTCCTGCCTCAGCCTCCTAAAGTGCTGGGTTTACAGGCATGCACCACCATGCCCAGGTGAGTTCTGTCATTTCTACTTCCAGAACAATCTGTTTTCTTTCTCTGACTCTACTTGACTTCCAGTCTAAACCACCATGCTACCTCTTGAACTGCTGCAGTAGCTTCTTTCTCAACTTTTTCTCTCATTCCACATGGCATCCTCTCTCTACCATGGAGCCACATTGACCTTTGAAGACATACCAGATCATAGAATTCTCATTAGTGATTTTTCTTTGCACCTTCTCATGATGGCATCTAAGGCCTGTAGAACTGGTTTCTTCCTGTCTCTCTACCTTTGTCTTAGATTGTTTCCCCATCACTTACCAAATTGTAGACACATTAGCTTCCTTTCTTTGATTGTACTTATCAAAGCCTGTCTTGCCTTAGGGCCTTTATTTGTGCTTGTGTCTCTGTCTGAACTTTCATATAGCTGGCTCCTTGTCATTCATCAGCTCTTTTTCCGAATGTCATTTCCTTAGGGGCTTTTCCTGACTGTACTATTTTAAATATATCCTTGCTGTATTATGTTAACTTTATTTACTTGTGTATTGATTGCCCCTCCCCCATTTGTACCCACAAGTTCTCAAATGTATATTTTATAAAGGCAGAAATTTTTTTTTTTTTTGTGGTGCTGGGGATTGAATCCAGCGCCTAGCGCATGTTAAGTAACTGTTCTACCAGTGAGCTACACCCCTAGCCCAAGACTTCCTTGTTCTTGTTTATTGCTTTATTTACACCTAGCAAAGTGTCTGAAACATAGGTCTTTAAATACTCATCAAATGAATAATTACTCTTTGTTAAATCGTTTTTTCATTAGTCCTATGCACTGAGTTAAATGATTGACTATGTTTGACTTTCTCTGTCTACTTTAAATTCTTGGGATCTCAGCTGAATGAGAGCATATCCCAGTTGGTGACAGACATGTTTTACCGGTTGCTGTCAATTGTCCGAACACAAAGAAGCAGCCCAGGATGGCAGAGTTGGTCCTCGACAAGAAGCATCACGTCAGCTGCCGAGGCGCATTCTGTCACCCTGCCCTCTCAGGCCCAGGTGGTCATTTGTGGAGGTGGAATCATGGGCACATCTGTGGCCTATCACCTCTCCAAGATGGGATGGAAGGATATCATCCTTTTGGAGCAGGGCAGGTAAGGATTAAATTAGACTTGATTTGTGGCTGTGCTGTCCTAATGAATGGTATAGGACTCCCTCAATCCCTCTTTTCCATGATGATGTCCCACCAATAGCTAATCTAAATGTTGCTCAATAGCAAGAAAAGAATTGGGACAGACTCTTCTGCACTTTGTGTTGCAATGCCTAATAGTGCTTACATTTTCTGATTTTTAAAAAGGTGGCAGATTTCAAGAAAACACAAGTGTCTTAGAAGAATGTGTGTTCACAGCACATCTTATCTTGCTCTCCTTATAGTTGTCCAGCAGCATAAATCCTAAGGCCACGGAGCTGAACAAAAGTGGCTACATTCTGCCCAGATTTCTGTTACTTTATTTCATTTAATTAACTTACTTTACAACAGTTTTAGATTTACAGAGAAACTGTGAAGATAGTATAGAGTTCCCATGTACCCTGCACTCACTTTCACCTGTTACTTTTTACATTATTATGAATGTTTCAGTGAACCAGTGTTCATGCATCAGTGTTAATAAAAGTTTATACTTTATCCACCTCTTTTTCATTTTTATCCCTACTGTCTTTTTTCTGTTCCAGGATCCTATCGAGGATCCATTACATTTAGTTATCATATCGCCTCAGTCTCCTTGGCTATGACAGTTTCTTGCATTTTACTTATTGGTAACTTTGACAGTCTTGACTTTTCTCTAACAGTTTAGACTTTGACAAGAATTTTTCTTTATGAAATAATGAGCAAAATAGGCAACTACTTGTTTGTTTTAGCTTAATTACTAGATATTTATTTATTTGTTTTTGACAGTACTTGGGTTTAAACTTGGGGCTTTGCCCTAGTGAAGTAGGCGCTCTACCACTTGAGCCATGTATGCCTCCAGCTTTTTGCTCTGATTATTTTGAGGATAGAGTCTCACTTTTTGCCTACACTGACCTGGACCATGTCCTTTTGTTTTAAACTTCCCACCATTGTTGGAATGACAGGCATGTACCACCATGCCCTCCTAGGTTTTTTTCTGTTGAAATGGGGTCTTGAAAACTTCTCTTTTGCCCGGACTGACCTAGACCCACAATCCTCTTGATCTCAGCCTCCTGTGTAGCTTAGGATGCCAGGTGCATGCCACTGCACCCAGCTAATTGCTAGATTCTTTTTTTGGTGGTGGTTGTACTGTAGTTTGAACTCAGGGCTTTGCACTTATAAGCAAAGGGCTATACTCCTTGAGCCATGCCTCTGGACTAATTGCTATATTCTTATTTCTCTCTTTTCCCTAAAAGAAGTGTGCTGTCTTTGTGGGTTTTCTTTTCTTTCTTTTTTGTGGTACTGGAGTTTGAACTCAGGGCTTCACATTTTCTAGGCAGGTGTTTTACCACTTGAGCTACTCCATCAGCCTCTTCATGGGTTTTCTTTGTTCTTGCCTTCTTTTAGATCAATCAAGTATTTTTAGTTTTCTCATGGGCTAGAGTATGACTCAGGTAGTAGAGTGCCTGTGTCACAAGTTTGAAGTCCTGAGTTCAAACACCAATACCAACCAAAAAAAATTTTTATTTTTAGTATTTCATTTTTATTTCCTCTGTTGGGTTTTAAGCTAAATCTCTTTGTGTTATTATCATCATCATCATAATTGAGGTGGGCCTTGAGAATGGCTTATGACATGGTTTCCCTACTTCCTTCTTATAGTCATTGTCCTCTTCTCTATCTCTACTACTGTGTTTCTCATTGGTGGTCTCAACTTTGGCTGCATATTAGAATGACCTTGGGAACTTGGAACACATAACAGTGCCCACAACAAACCAGAATCTCTTGAAGTGAGTGAGATCCAACTTCAGTATGAGCTTCCCAGGGGCTTTTTTTTTTTTTTTTTTTTGAGACAAAGGCTTGGGCTTACTATGTAGCCCAGGCTGGCCTTGAACTCACTATCCTTCTGCTTCAGCCTCCCAAGTGCTGTGCCATCATGCACAGCTCCCAGAGTACTCTTAATGTTTATCCTAGGTTGGGAACCACTTACCAGAGCTGTTCCAGGAGTGCTGTCCCACCCTCAGTAGAGCACCACACAGTGACTGTGCATTAGTTACAAAAATTATAAAGACATTTGTGTTTAGGAAGGTGACAATCTGACATGGAAAATAGAACCTTTAGAGCAAATTCTGTAAACTTTCAGTGACAGGAATACTGACGAAGGTGGTAGTTTCCTGAGTGCCCTTTTACAGCATCTTATGTTCAGTTGCCTACCACAAATTGGAGAACATTTTTTAAATAATTTATTTTAAAATTTTTGGCAGCACTGGGGTTTGAACTCAGGACCTCACACTTGCTAGGCAGGCGCTCTACCACTTGAGCCACTCCACCAGCTGGAGAATATTTTTCAGTTAAAATTGTATTTATTTTTGAATAGGCAGTACATTTATGTGATTTAGAATAGAGGTGAGATTATTTCCTGATACACTCCCTACATAAACAGTATAAACAAATATGTATTGGTAACCTGTGTTTGTGTATATGGGTATTCATTTTTTTCCCCTTTTTCATACAAATGGTGACAGGCTTTATTTATTTATTTTTGTGGTATTGGGGATTGAATGAACTCAGGAACTTACGCTTGCTAGTGAAGCACTCATATCATCTGAACCATATCCCAGTCCTTTTTCTTTTTCTTTTTTTTTTAAATTTGCTTTTCTGTGATTATTAATAAATCTGAGCATACTTCTTTTTATGGGTTAGTCATTTTCATTTCTCATTTTGTTAATTGCCTATTGTGGTCCTTTACTCAGTTTTTTACTACTTATTTTTAATTTTGCTCATTGATTTGTAAGACGCTCTTCTAAATTATAGGTGCATGTTTCTGTTCATTTTAAATGCCTTTGCACAGTGTGATTTTTGTCTGTTAACTTTGTCAATGTTTAGCATTAATATAATCAATTTGTGTGTCTTATTATCCAAGATACTTATGGTTGGTGGTAGTTGAATGCTTTTTACAATTATTGTTATTATTCATTTATTCACATGTACATACGTTGTTTGGGTCATTTCTCCCCTCCTTCATTTTTGTTTTTTCAGCCAGGGTCTAATACTAACTTTCTCCTGAGTATATGGGATTATTGCAGGTGTGCATATTTATGCCTGGCAAAGTCAGTGGGGTTTTTGTTTGTTTTTTTGTAGTACCAGGGTTTGAACCCCAAGACCTTGCACTTTGCACTTGCTAGCAGGTTTGAGCCATGCCCTCATTCCTTTTGTGTTTTTGTTTTGTTTTGTTTGTACTGGGGTTTGAATACATGGGGTTTCACACTTGCTAGGCAGGTACTCTACTACTTGAGCCACTCTGCCAGCCCTTTTTTGTGCGGGGTATTTTTAAGATAGAGTTTCTCAAACTGTTTGCCTGGGGCTGGCTTTGAACTGCCTGAGATCCTCTTGATTTCTGCCTCCTGAGTAAGTAGGATTATAGGCATGTGCACTGGTGCCTGGCCCGTGTCTTCATTTTTAATAATTACATAGTATTCCATAGTATACGTGACCACCAAAATTTTAAATCAGTCCTTTGTCAGTGGGCATTTAGATTGGTTCCATTTATTTATTTAATTTTCTTGGTGGTAATGGGGTTTAAACTCAGGGCTTCACACTTAGGGGACAGGCACTTTACTGCTTGAGTCATACCTCCAGTATTTTTTTTTTTTTTTGCTCTGGTTAATTTTGGAGGTAGAGTCTTGCTTTTTGCCCAGGTCCTCCTATTTTAAACTTCACACCATTGCTGGGATATGGGCGTGCTCCATCATACCCAGCTTTTCTCCATTGAGATAGGGTCTAGGAAATATACATATACATATATATGTGTATATATATATATATATATTTTTTTTTTTTAACTAATTTACTTGTTTGCCTGGGCTTGACTGGAACCACTATGATCCTTTCATTCTTAGGCTTTTGTAGCTTAGGATGATAGGCACACACCACTGTGCCCAGCTGTTTGTTGACATGGGGTCTCATGAACTCCCTGGCTAGGCTGGCCTTAAACCGCAGTCCACCCAATCTCAGCATCCTGAGTAGGTAGCATGACAGACATGAGCAACCCGGTCCCTGGCTATTTACTTATTTTGCCTTGCTGGGGTTCAAATCCAGGGCTTTCTTAAGCACGGCTCTTATCACCAAGCTACATCTCCAGCTATATTTCCATCTTTTGATATTACAAGCAATACTGTAATAAGGAACTTTGAACTGTATTTACAGATTTATGAGTCTATCTAATAGCATTTTGCCTCCATCCTGCAGGCTGGCTGCTGGCTCTTCCAGGTTCTGTGCTGGCATCGTGAGCACTGCCAGACACTTAACCATTGAGCAGAAGATGGCAGACTATTCAAACAAACTCTACTATCAGTTAGAGCAAGAAACAGGGATCCAAACAGGTAAGCAGGTATCTTCTAGTCTGCCCGACTCTTACTTAATACTTAATATATCTGGTCCTATAACCAGGTTTGCCTGGAGTTCGGGTAATTAAGACTTGGGGTTTAGTCTAAACTCTGCAGCTAACCAGGATGCTACCTTGGGCAAGTCATATAGCTTGTTGAATTATCTTTGATTTGTCTGTAAAATGGGGATTCAGTCACTATCCCTGGTCCTTCTTTGTTATAATAATTCTTGTCATTATATGAAAGTTTTCCACTTTCTATATATTTCACTCACTTATTACATAGTAAATGGCAACACATAGCTCATAACAAAGAGGAGAAAGAACATAATATTAGATACTTGACAGTTAAATCATAGTTTAACTTTTGAACTTCATCAATTACTATTATAAAGCATAGACATATATTTGTTCTTATCTGTAATTAGGGGGAAAAGGACACAGCAAACTGTAACCTAAATAGTATTGGAATGAACAGGAACTATTTCAAGAACAGAATGCTAATCAACACTATGATTAAATTTAATAATAAGTTGGAAAGAGGGTCTGTTAGTTTGTCCTAAGGTGATGGGTCAGCTGGAGTCCCAGAATAAAGCTGTCTCATGAATGATTTAACATTTTGCCTTGCTTGCCTTACCTTAGTCCCTGCCCTGTGGGAACATCACCAGACCCACATGGTGTCACTGAATTTGGCCTTACTTCCTTTTTGAGACAATGGTTCTAGAATGAACTTAGTAATAAGTGGTTATGCTATGTGTCTTCAGCTTTTTAAAAAAAAAATAGCCTCGACTGGTCTCAAACTTGATCTTTCTGCCTTGGCCTCCAGAGTGCTGGGATTACAGATGTGTACCACCACCCTGGATTCTTTGCAGCTTTTACTAGGAAAGATGCCTGCTATATGCATGGCAGGTGGGAAACAGTCCCTTTTGGTTGGATTAGATTTGATGTTGGGCTAGTGGAGTAACTCAAGCGGTAAGAGTTCCTACCTGGATTTGATGTCAACAGGTGCTTAAATCAAGTCTTAACAGCATCCACAGTATGGGCCAGAGATGGAGTACTGAGTCCCAGTTCACTGGAACAGTTACTAGTGTTTTGTAACTGAGTGATGACTTAGCATCACTCAGTTGGATAGATTTCAGAAGAATTGGGGTCATTGGCTTCTTTATTTTGTGAGATAAATTAGTCCAGTGGTAGTCCTAGGTCACAATCTAGAATCTTTTATTTAGCTTGACTTATTTTTGATGCTTGTGGGGCAGTGGAAGGTGAAGATGGGGAGCAGTGAGAAAGGCAAGGGAATGCAAAGATACTGCCTGAAATTATCACCCCATTATAATGTACTAGTAATGTAGCGAAAGGTGACTTGAGAGCTTCAGTGTTGGGAAGTTCTCTGTTAACTGGCAGTGTGTATGTGCGTATATTGACATAATTGTTACTGCTTTTGAGTCATAAGATGAAGTGACATTAAGTATAAATTAGATTTAATGAGAAGAGTATTCTAGTCTTCTAAAAACAGCTCATCCAGGTAAGGTGTATGTTAATGAGTTTTTAATCTGAAATTCTGGATAACTTCAAGATTCCTCATTGACTTTGTTAAGTAAAACTTTTTAAAATCCTTTCATTAGCATGCTAATTTTGTCAAGTAAATGGTGTGGATGTAATTATCTAAAAGTTAATGATATTTTAGGCTGGGGATGTGGCTCAGTGGAGGAGCACTTGTCTAGCATGTGCAGTACTTGGGTTGAATCCCCAGCACCACAAAAAAATTAATAAAAATTTAAAAATAAGTTAATAGTCTTTTGAAAACATTCCATATACTATTGGACCTTATAATAAAGAAAGGCCATTCTTTTACAGATAAACCAAGATGCAGTAATAGTAAGCCAGTTTTCCAATTCAGTGAAAAGTTGATTTAAAAAATTAGTGCACAAACTTTTAAAAGTTTTAAGCATGTATAATAAGTTATATAGTCATTAGGGTAAGTGTGAAAGATACAGACATAAAAATGAAAAGTGGAAACCTTCCAATGCACCAAAAGGCTAATTTGTGGTACTATACTTTACTATACTTAATTATATGGATTTGTTATATAGATGCTTTTTGTTTGTTTTTTTTGCAGCACTGGAATTTGAACTCAGGGCCTTCACCTTCAGCCACTCCACCAACCCTATTTTTTTGTGAAGGGTTTTTTTTTTTTTTTTTTCCAAGATAGGGTCTCATGAACTATTTACCCAGGCTGGCCTCAAACCGTGATCCTCCTGATCTCTGCCTCCTGAGTAGCTAGGATTATAGGCGTGAGCCACTGACCCCCAGCATAGATGCATTTTTTTAATCAAAATATATTAAGTATGTTATCATAGACCTTATTTTTTTATACCTTGTAATGTTCTATACAAAAATTAATGTACACAAGGTATATATATGAAATGTGCTTGCAAAATGTATATCTCAAAAAAATTTTTTTTTTTGATATTGGGGTTTGAATGCATGGGCTTATGCTTGCTAGGCAGGTACTCTACCACTTGAGCCATGCTGCCATCTCTTTTTGCTTTTGTCTTGCTTTCTGCCCAGACCAGCCTGGACAGTGATCTTTCTATTTATGCAACATAGCTGGATGACAGGTGTCAGCTTTTTACTGTTTGAGATGGGGATCTTGCTAACCATTTGCCCAGGCTGACATTGAACCACAATTCTCCTAACCTCTGCCTCCTGAGTAGCTAGGATTACATATATGAGCCACTGTGTCCAGCTCCTAGGGAGCTTTTGACCATGGTGTTTTTGTTTTTTCTTGAGCCGGGGTCTTGCTGTGTTGCCCAAGTTGCACTTCAACTCCTGAACTCACTTCACCTTCCTGAGTAGCTTAGACTATAGGTGCATCTCATCACACTCAGTTTTGGCCTTGGTGTTTAAACTCTTTCCTCTCTGTCTAAACACAGGCAAAATTTGATTATGCAAGTTTATTTTCCACAGAGGTGTAAATAATTCTGCTTTCTGTGTATTCTAAGGTTGAGAAAATGAGTAATACATGATGATAAAAGGAAGGTAACTCTATTGAGGATAAAGAGCTGGGTTTCTTAGTGTTGGAGAAAGGAGTTAAAATATGGAAAGAGAGGTAACTAGAGGAATCCTGTGGTAGTTTTAAAAGACATTCTAACCTGAAATGAATCAGGGCTTCTTGAAGAAATGATTGATTTCTGACTGGGGCTAGAAAGGTACAGAGTAGTGAAACATGGAGCATGTTAACTGTGCCAGAAAGTAAGGAAGTGGTCCCCAAGTGATGGGACATGGCAAAGGTACATAGAGAAGAAAGAAAAAAGACAGAGAAAAGAAAAGGTGCATAGTAACAAGCTTGAAAGGTCTTTTACTGATCAAATCTGGTATAATTCAAGCAAGGAAATAAATGAGAGCAATGGATTATAATTCATTATACAAAATAGCAATCCACAATTCCATATTGATAAAAGAAGTACAAATTAAATTAGGAGTAAGGGAAAACTATAACCTACTGAAGAATGCCAACTAATAGATGTAGCAGAATGATAGAATTAGAGCGCACCATTTCACCTCCATCATACTAATAATTACTTCAGGTAAAGACCAGGGGCATGGGTGAAGTGGTAGTTTACCTGGTAGCAAACGCAAGGCACTGAGTTCAAACTCAGTACAACAAAAAGATCAAGAAAGACAAGCTGGGCATGGTGGCATACATTTGTAAATCTCAGCTATGTGGGAAGTGGAGCTGGGAGAATCATAGTTTGAGACCAGACCAGGCAAAAAAGACAGTGAGATCCTATCTCAAAAAAGTAAGCCAGGTGTTGCGTGGGATATGCTTGTAATCTCAGTTACACAGGAGGTAGAGGTAGGTGGATCATGGTCTGAGACCAGCTCCAGGCAAAAGGAAAGACTCTACCTGAAAAAAATAAGCTATAAGCAAAAAAAGGTCTGGGGATGTAGCTCAAGTGGTAGAGCATTTCTAGCAAACACAAGGCCCTCAGTTCAAACCCCAGTAGTACCCAAAAAAAGGCAAAAGAAAGGAAGAAAAACTGTACTAGATTGAAGAAGACTAAAGAGATAATACAACTCAGTGTAGTTACTGACCTTAGACTGGATTCTGGACTGAGGGCAAAAAGAAAAATAATAGGGCTGGAGAAGTGGCTCAAAGTGGTAGAATGCCTGCCTAGCAAGCATGAGGCCCTGAGTTCAAACCCCAGTACCCAAAAAAAAATGAAAAAAAAAAAAGGGAAGAAAAATGAAGAACATCATTAGACAGTTGATGAAATCTGAATATGCACTGTGGATTAGCTAATAGTATTGCTAAGTTTCCTTCTTAAAAAAAAAAAAAAACGCACCCTACTCTAATCCCAGATTTGGGGGGCTGGGCTACATAGTGAGACTTTGTCTCAAGAAAAAAAGGAATGCATGCTAAAGTAATTAATAATAAGGGTACTTTGTCTGCAGTTTCCTGAAATAGTTCAGGAAAAAAGTGGGGGAAGAGGAAGAATATGAATGAATGATTGATAAAGCAAATACAGGAAAATCTAGCTGGTGAATCTGAGTAAAGAGAGCTCTTGATACTGCTCCTCCACATTTTCTCTCAGTTTGAAATTATAATGAAAAATTACCCATTCACCACCCCCATGCACCCCCCCCAAAAACAAAACAAAACAAAACAAAGCACTCAAGGTACTTTTAAAAAGTGCTATTTCTGGTACAGCACTTCCAAGAGTCTGGTTATATTTATTGGACTGAAATAGGGCCTTGGCCGTGGATCATGTTTGAAACTGCTCAGCTGATATGTGGCCTGGCCTGAGAACCCCTGCACATTGGGATCATCTGTGTCCTGGTCTCACTTCACATACACTGAATCAGAATCTCTGGGTGTGAGGCCCAGATTCGGGTCATTTTTCAAAACTTCTTAAAGGCAGACATGGTGGTGGACTCCTGGAATCCCAGCTACTTTGGATTGCTTGAGCTCATGGACTTGAGATCAGCCACCTAGTG